AGTTGCGTTTTGATGATGACAAGTTGCGTTTTGATGATGACAAGTTGCGTTTTGATGATGACTAGTTGCGTTTTGATGATGACTAGTTGCGTTTTGACGACTACTAGTCGTATTTTGCCTTCTGATCTGATAACGACGACGACTAATCGTGTTTTCATTTCGACTGATCTGATAACGATGACGACTAATCGTGTTTTGCATTTTTGTATAAACCGCCGCCCATAGAGGACAATGAAACCTTGGGCAACATTGTGTCAAATTTCATTGAAAAGTGCTTCTTGTATCAGAGAGAATTTAATGTACTGATCAATACTAGTAATGTTGTAATAAACCCCAATATTCACACATAAAAAAGTCTGTAAAATCCATCTCCAACCTGGGGAACTACGTCCTCAACTTGTATTCTTATTAAAATATTGCCAGTGGATTAGAAATCTGTTGAATGATGGGGAAATATTTGCCACCACTTTCATCCACCGCCAGGGTTGGGTCAGAGATTTCTGTGAAAAGCATGCTTTTCAGAAAGATTTTCAGGTTGGGCTTTGGATGTATATTTAATTATGGGAGGAGAAAACAGATATTATTGCATTTGGAGTGCTCAAGTACATGAGGGTTTGCAAGTTAAAAAAAAAAAAGAAAAAAAGAGAGACAGCTGTTAAAGAAATAATCTTTAATCCAATTGATTTACAGTTTACCTTGAACTACGCCATTCTTTAAAACCACCATTTAGCATCAAGATGTATGAAGTGTTAATGGAATTGTTCAGTTCTGTCCAGTGGCTTTTCTAACTTCAAAGAAATGCTTCATCTCCACTGGTCTTGTACTCAGGAACTCCACGGAGACGAGCTTCAATTAACTGGCGTCAATGTACAGGCTTTTTACGTAGCTTCACTTAGGGACTGAGTGCATAATCAGATTCCGATAATTTGATTGACGAGAGGGTTGTTTTTGTTGATGACACTTGCTTTATTCACAAGAGAGAACTAGTATTTGAAGAGCAAAGTCCTCTGCCAAGAAAAAACAAATAATGATTATTTTGAAATTATAGGTCCAGGAGAACTGCCTACTTTCGGAAAATGTAATCACTTCTTAAATTCCCTCCTGAATAAATATGATAATCCAAAAAATCAGTCAAAATTTGCATCAAACTCTTTGGAAACTCACTAAGGCTCTATTCCCATAGATTTTAGATCGATCTATCCCTGCGGGGAGTCTCACTAGATTACTTTCAGATAATCCGGCTTAAATGTCCGTCCCGCCTACTACAAGCTGTAAGAGGGTAATTAACTTTCGTGTCCGCCCGGCTGACAGCTATTTAGCGTGAACCCCCAGGGAGTTAGGTCGATCTAAAGTAGGTCGATCTAATCTATGGAAATGGGGTGTAAGTCGTGTTTCCAACCAGGATGGGTCATCCTATATTACGTTAAACCATCTCTGCAGGTTTTCTGATTGGGATTAGGGTCACCCTAGGTTGCAATGGGCCCTTTCCAGTCCCGCTGTTGTCCCATCCATTACTTTTGTAATTGATTTAGGACATGTGGTTAAGAGTTACTTATCACAAAAAGCCAGTCTAATCCCTTTGTTGTCCCGCAAAGCTTTTGGTTTCAAGACCAAACTTTACGGGTAACTGACTGCTAGTACTTGTTCAAATACTGATAACTAAAAATTAAAATTTTGCTGACAGATCTGAAGTGTCGGCTTATCACTGTTAGTATGTTTGTCTGTACAAACATGGGGTGCATTTGATGTCATATCAGCAAAAACAGTTTTGGACTTCACTGTTGGAAGAAGATAATTAAAGAATGCAGTTTTAACTCGTGAACCTGGATCAGTACGGGAATTTCACTGACTTGTATATATATATATATATATATATATATATATATATATATATATATATATATATATATTGCCTTAACTCAGGATTACACAACATGTCCATTACCAATTGCAAACTGATCTCATAGTGGAATTTAGTCTGAAAACAGTTTCAGTGGAAATAGTGCTGAACACAGCTGTTATGATTGAATAAACCCAGGTACAAGATAGGAGTGAATAATATTGTAAATAGTCTTGATATTTGGCTGCATGCTTGAAAGGATTAAGAAATAAAGGTGCATGGAGCGGTCCAGAATTAATTAGTTTCATTTCTTTGTATCACATTTGAAGAAGAGGGGAGATAAGTTGATGATGAGTTTTTTAAACATTACATTTGGAAATATTACAGATATAAATTTTAGTTAATATAAAGGAAAACAATACTTTTTCAAAGTACAAATTTGCTTGATCAGGAATTCAAAGAAATAAGAAGTATCTGAAAATGACATAGACAATGACTTTTTAATTCAATAAGAAAAAACTGTTACAGTCAGAGTGAAATAAATTAAATTTATTTTTCCTAAACCAGAAATACCAAGAAATAGAATTAATGGCAATTGAGATTTCCAGTCCAGGAGCAAAACACCCCTTAATCTTTTATGCATATTGTGTATTTGAATAGTGTAGGATATTCTGCGCACACAGCTTCATTTCTGGGTCCGGAATCCAAAAGAACTGAAATCAATAAATACTCCAGGCATGAACGTGACAGGTCTCCATAGATCTGGTATTATACATAACAGGGACTGGGACTTGGTATCTGAGCCAGAATTTTCAAGTTGTACCAGTTACTTGAATGAGAAATAGTGTAAATAGACTAGTACTCTCAGACTGATATTCTTTACCCCAAGGTGATCTACGCTGGAGAAGTCCTGCAGAAAGCCAAGAGATACTGCATGGGTACATTTTGGAGAACTTAGAGAATAATTAAGTTATCATATAGAGAGTTTTGGGAAACTAACAATACTGCGTGTACATGTATGAGTACTCTGAATAACGTACCTCTACCATGTTTGTATCCTGCATTACTTTTTAATTGTCTGAAAGTAGAAAGAACTGCTTGTTATAGAATTAGATGTGACTTTACCAGTAGCCTAAGAAACTCAGGGTGACAGCTAAGGAAACATGAGGTGGGTCACATGGTTTGTCGTGGAGAACAGCACACAGTGGTACGTTACTGTTGGAATACACAGACGTGAGTTTTCCAGTAGACGATCATAAGCTGGCTGTGACAGGTTGGATGACACCAGGGCTTGTTTGTTGGGTCACGTAACATTTCTTTGGAGAAAAGCAACCTGTGGTTCCTATTTACAATAGCTGTTGGAATTTATACATAGAGGAGAGATTTCCAGTCCTTAGTAGCTACATGTAGCTCTGAAACTCTTAGTTGACAGCAGGATTGGTTTGTTGCGTCACCTGACATTTCCTTGGAGAAAAGAAAAGAACAAATTTAAGATTTAAGTCGACTTGAGTTTTGGCAGTAGACCGTGATCCGCGGGGTGCCAGTGAGGACATATGATCTGGGTCACATGGCATTCCTGCGAGAACAGCACTCTGTTAATACACAGTGACTGTGTGAATACACAGACCTACACGTAGGGGGTGACTATACAGCAATACTTAGTGGTAGCACTTTCTGCAAGATTTGGTTTCTGAGACATGTGACAGATATATTGTTGAAAACTGATGGAAAAATGAAGCTGAAATGTTATGGATGAGAAGACCCATAGCACAAAGGACAATACATTATTTTATATCAGTAACAAAGAGGAATTGAGTTCTTTTGGAAGCACTGTGCAGGTATATTGTTGAAACTGCAGAAAAATGAGGCTGAAATGGAATAAAGTTGATGAGAAGATGATGGTTGCCAAGGAAGCGTGTCACAGTGGTTGCTGATGAATAGGACCAACTACTAGACTTAGTACAGATTACTTTGGGAGATTTCCATCGTGCAAAAAAACACAGAAGTGTTATGTGGAGAAAATTTGGTAACATTTTGTATGGATTTTTGACAGATTATAAGTCAAAATATCTGTACAAGTACAGGTGATTTTGACTTTTGAGGAATCTGTAGTGAACATTTTAACCATTAGTTGTGGTTTACAGAAGAAAAAAAAGCAGATAAACAAACGACACAGAAAACTCCAAAATGTTGGCTTCGCCTTCTTTGCAGAGGCAATCTGGTGAGTACGTGACGCACATGTTGATGTACACATTTAATGCATGCTTGTAAAACACGCATGGAGGAAGGTAGAGAGGGGAAAAGAGAGTAAGAGAGAATTTATACATTTCCCAGAAAATTTAATATTTTAATATTTAATTTTAAAAGCTCAAAAGCTTATCGCATTGTCAACTAGGAAAGTTGACTTGCAGTTGTTGAAATGAAATTTTAAAAATGTAGCAGATGAGTAAAGTGGTAGATATTGTATAAGTAATTGCATTTGACTGGTGATGTAAGATAAATTTAGTACTAAAAGTAAAATTTCTCTAATTGCTCTGAATTATGGGGTTTCATTACTTTTTCTGTTTATGTATACAGTGTGTGTACATGTGTGCGCATGAATGCTTGTGTGATTGTGTGTGTCTGTGCATGTACTCACATGTGCATGTGTGTCATTATCATTATAGAACCATTTTCACCCTCCAAAACTCAGGGTGTTCATGTCTCCTACAAACGTACCAAAACAATTAATATTAGATGTCATATAATCAATCACAAAGTCATTCCCCGCCCTCTGAGTCTCTGAGTTTACGTGTATCCTACATACTGTGACGTTAATGGAATCAATCAATAATCATCAATCACGGTCTCATTACATTTGACTGTTACGTCATTTTAACCTGGGACATAAGTTACTGAAATGTCACTGTACTAGGGTTGTCTAGAGTGGGTTAGACCTCTGTGAAGTTGTGTTTTGGACTGTGAACTCGGGGCATCCTGTCTTGGTGATTCTGATTTATAATTGATAGATCTGCATTTTGTCCATCACTTTCACTTACTATAGTACTAAAGACAATAATTTGGGTTGGAAGAAAACAAGTAAGAGAAAGCGGCTCTGTGGCCAGCCATACGCGGTAGTGTATTAAATATAATTACTAGTAGGAGTCTAACAAAAGTGATGTGATCAGGAAATGTGGGATGCTTAAAATGCTACCCTTCCCTCCTAAAAAAAAAAGGCCCATGCCCATCCCTTTCATTTGTCAACTCAGAAATTAAATGGAGTTAAGATTTTTTGTTGTGCTGCAGTAGTGATTTTGTCTTGTTTATTGGTCTTGATTGGTTGGATATGAACTTTGCCTGTGATAATTAATCATTGGTTTAAACAAAATGTACATTTTATTTCCCAGCATAACTTATTTGTCAGTTGCAGGAAAAAATATGTTAATTATTATGATTTGAATATATCCTGAAAAGCAGGTTGGGTACCTGTCTAAAACCACTTCATTAGAGTACATTGAAACAATTTATCTTGAAAAAAAAAATAGAATTATGAAATAAGTGAGGTGTTTAAATATTGTGGGCGGTGCTGATGGTTGATGCTTCTTTAAGTAAATGACATTTGAGGAAATATTATTGACTATCAGTGGCTTAATGCCTCCCACAGTGGATATGTTTTTACGACATGCATAATATGAAGTCAGCAGATATTGTTTGACAAGTGGGCTTAAAAAATGGACTTTAAAAAACTCGGGCTAAGTGCTTGTAATGGAAAAGAGCATTGAGGCTGAATGTGTTTTCTGTGGAGACAGTTTGCGTAGCCAAATGTACTGTACATTATCAGGTGTGTCTGTAATATAGAACAAGAAGTCAGCTTTTGTAAACAGGGATTTATTATCATTCGGTCCTTAAGGGGGATCAATATGAAAGGATATTTCCTTATATCTTTAGATAATGCAGAAGTAAACATTGACATGTTATAAAAAATAAAGTCGTTGCATCAAATACAGTGTATACACCTGGTTGAATTTGCCAACTCAAACCCCAATGACTTGACAGCATCATATTTTGGAGTGAGAACTGTACTATCAGTTTTCCTCGCCTGAACGGCCATCAACATTTATTTAATAGCAAAAATATAAAGTACAATCTGGAGCCAAGAATTTTTTGAGCCAAGGCTTTCTTCTGATTTTATCAGTAAAGTGGTGAAGTAATACATTTGTGTAATGGAACATAAAGCAGTTTATTTGAAACTTTATTACCTGCAACAAGGAGGTATGTTTTCATTACTGTTTGTTATTTGCTGTTGTTTCTGTTATATTTCTGAACTTTAAGATACCAAGTTTTTCATTTGATCCTTAAGTATGGGCACTTGGATAAAATCCAGGGCAGTCCATAAAGCTGTGTATTTGCAGCTTGAAATGTAAATAATGCCAATAATGAAACATAAAAAGCAGTTGGGTTAAAAATGTGTTACTTTAGCAGTATGAATATAGCCTGCATGCTTCTTAACTCCTTTTCTTACTTCATTTTATAATGCTGAGTATTCGGTCTATTTTTTGCGGACTTTCAATTTGTAATTTTCTTAACATTTGCTATCGGAGTATTAATCTGTAAGTTTAAGTTCCACCTTAGAATCAAGTGTTATTGTTTCCTATGTCATTTGACCTGAGTTACTGATATGATATGGTACTAGTAATCACTTGATCTTTTCAATGGGGGGAAATTGTGAATTTTACAGATACTGTATTTGTAAGTCATAATTTCTTAAAATTAAAACATTCCTGTTGACTGGTAGCAACAATTTTTACAAACAGGTTACTTCATAGTTCTATTGTATGCAGTAAAAGCAACACAAAAATACATATGTATAGAATTTTTTTTTTTTTTTTTTTTTTGTGATTATAAAATCATGCATTTATCCGCGAGCAATGCCTGTGTCAGAAACAACAGAACCCAAATAAACCTTATCACATATTTGAAAGTTTGATCTTTTTTGCCCATTGAAAAGGTTGAGTCATTACCATATAATATTGGTAACTCTGCTACAGTGGCAGAGTATGCTGTTAGTGGGAACTTACTGTATATTTCCAGCAGTTTATGGTGAGGATAGTTCATAAAAGAGTTATAATTATCTCAGTAGAGATTTACAAAAGTTTTTGTTTCTTTATTTCAGCCTTTGGGTCATTTGGTCCTGCCAGCCGGCTCAAGACACTGGAGGGAGGCACCCCTATCTCTATGGAAGTAGCCTTGGTCAGTATCAGCATGTACACAGACATACATACAGAATTACACATGCGTGCATGCATGCACATGAATGCGATCTTATGTGCACTTGCATGCATGTTTGTTTCAGTATGTATAATTGCATCTATGAACATGGAAGTGCACATGTGCATGTAATATATGTGCATATATGTAATATATGTGTATGCATCCATGCCTTTACAATAAGGTTCATCATTATTACTTTGCAAAATAAAACTTTTAATTTGGACACCGACAATGCAATACGTACTGTATTCAACTTTCAAAAGTCAGTTATGTATTAAGTTGCAATTAAATAAACTGACTTTATCTTCTCCGTCCACACATGAGATCATTAAATCAATAGTGTGTTAAGATCAATACCTGATAACGCTGATGTGACGTCAAGTATTGATCAAGTTCATCATGAAATGATTTCAGTAGAATAACTTAACTTAGTACTGAGTTAACTTTACAGGGGTGAGGTAACACAGAGAAATAAAATCAATTGCACTGACGTTGTTCATTTTGTTTTGCCACAAATTATGTCAGAAGTGAGTTGTGTCTGAGAGCTCTTATGAGTATGAAAAGGTTAACTTAATAAAATAAATATTGACCTCAGCTTAATGGACATATCATTCTGTAATTAATTATAAATTCCTTTATATGAATATATATAGTCCAATATGAATATTGTAATGAAATCAAATGATTAAATCAAATATTAATTGAAAATCACTTATATAATTATAAAAATTGAAGAAATTAAACCTAATAGCGATAATATTGTAGTAAGTTTTCATAAAGATCCAGATTCCATTCCTTTTCTTCTCTGCTAAATTAATTATACTCGTCTGTTATGTATTTGTCATCATCATTGTCATTGTCATCATTATTGTAATAATTTTATTACTTTATCAGGCACTGCGCAAACTTGTCACAGGTACTACAGTCCACAAACTGACACAAGATTGGATGAAGCTTGGATTCATGTTTCAGAATGAGAATGGACCATTTGCCTATGGAATCTATACACAGAAGGTAACAAAACAGAGCTGAATTAAAACTGGAGTTTTATAAAAAAAGACTTGAAATAATATACGTGCTTAAGTAAAAAAGTCTATAAACAGATATGCTAGTAAAAGAAGAAAAAAATATGTACATCCTGAATTATAATTACAGCCAGGCTTAATATATTATGTCTGGCAATATTTGATTCTTCATTTTTTTTAATGCCTTGCAGTACTTTTATACAGTTTGCCCAGATTAAAAGTATAATTTCTTTTATTTATTTATTTTTTTTAGAATGGTTCCAAAGGATTTGTACTCTGTGTACAGGCATTCATTTTGAAGCATCTACTTTTTCGACATTCTAGAGACCTTGATGCACCTTTTGACTTGAGGTGAGGGCAGTGTGTGTGTGTGTGTGTGTGTGTGTGTGTGTGTGTGTGTGTGTGTGTGTGTGTGTGTGTGTGAGAGAGAGAGAGAGAGAGAGAGAGAGAGAGAGTGTGTGTGTGTGTGTGTGTGTGTGTGTGT